AAGAACTCCAAATTGACATCTTATCTAATAATCGCACTGGTTTCCGTTTCCACTTTCTTTCTAACCTTCATCATCATCATAGTTGGTGTGAGGTTTTGTCGCAAAAGAAAGCCCAGACTGTTGTTTGATGGAGCAGTTGCCATCCCTGGAGCTTATCTTCCTCCAAACTATGCAGATGTTGATGGCACGGGGACTTTACGCAGCGCTTACAATTATGACACATACCTAACAACAGGATCCAGAACCAGTGACTTTAAGTTTGTATCTTCTTACAATGACAACACGCTGCCTGCTGATCAGACTCTGGAGAAATGTTCTACAGATTTTTCTGCTATATTTGGAGATGCTGATGCCTCTCCTGAGGTAGGAACATTTCAGTATTTTAAACTCCCTTTAAAGCAAAAATGTTGTTTACCTTTTTAGTTTCTATTTCACACACATCTTTTAAGGTTATACATTCTTTTTAATGCTATAAAGCTCTTTGTTGTTAAAGAATTACAATAGAAAGGTCTTTTCATGCAATTTAGCCTTATTTGTAGCAGCGTGCCCTGCCTCTTCATGTTTTACTCCCATGGGATTCAACTCTGGGTCCCTTTGCCAGGCTCTTTTCCCCAGAATTTCCCCCCAATGATGCACGGTGGCAAACATTCTGCTCCCTATGGAATAGCCATGTATTGAGATCCCATGACAGTTGAAGATAAATTTTAGCATCAGTTAAATGTATTGACTCTGATTACGTAAATAGAATCTGTTTATTTTGCAACGGATTCTTTTTGTGATGCTAAAAAATATATACCTTTCACATTTCCAAGGTTTGTATTTGCCTAATGAAAAAGGTGTTTCCAGCCTTTGCATGCATATGTAATGTAATTTTCCATTAGCGCAATGTTTTTGGTATTTCAGTTAGAGCTTAGTTATGTTTGCCATTTAGAAATTGTTATAAGAAGCTTATTTCCTTGTAAAATATTTGTGAAATAATTATATAATCTTTAGTGGTGAAGCATATTTACAATATAAGTATTTGCTATAGTAGTCTGAATGAAAGATGCAAACGTAACGCTTCCTATTAAGTCTTGCATTGCAATTCCCTCTTTATTTTGTGCTTTCATATTTCATTGAGTACCTGGGTTATTTCTTCATTTTGGGACAATTTCTGACCCATATTATGAAATAATGCCTCGCTTTCCTATTGTGTAGTTGTTGTCACATTTTTGTGTCTTTTTGGCCATAATCTGCACATTGCACAGATCAGGAAACCATAAGACATCTTGGAAAATCTGACAGTACCACAGTGAATCTTCTTGTGGTAAAATAATGCAGTAATTTCTTTGTAACATGGTTAAAGTATTAACTTTTTGCTAATTACTTGACTGATGACCCAGAACTAAAATTTACTTCTACTGAAAATCCTATACCTAGAAGTTTTGCTGGTTAATTTTTCCAATTTCTTTCTTATCTTTATCAATATTGATGATCTTGTTTGAGGGTCTCTAGCAGGAGAAATCACAGATTTGTTTGATGAAGAAATTACTATTCGTGCTGTTTATCTGCCTTTATATTACATAGCTGTTTATGGCACAAGAACTTTATACACCTATTATAAATATGACACATGCCTGACAACAGAAACAGGGACTTTTAGTTTCACAATAATGACCTATTGCCTGGTGATCAGGCGTTAAAATGTCCTACAGTACAAAGATTGCTTATAATAATGACCTTCAATGGCGGTCTCTGAAGAAGTAGATCCAAATAATCTGCTTTCATTCATGTTTGGGTTGCTGATGCTTAAGCCAAATTTTTGGCACTTTTAAGAATTTTAGAACAGTCATTTCTTAAAAAATAAATAAAATGAAGTCATGAAATTACCATCTTATTGAAAATAATCTAGATTTCCTTTTATTATCATGTTGTTACTGGAATGGAAACATGGTCAGATGTTTTGCTGTACAAGTTTATCTTTCAGTCCATCTGTTCTGTTGTTTTCGGTTTATGTAGGCTACACTACATTTCCTTGGGCATTTTTTTGTCTCAGTATATGCATAAATACGTACATGACCTTAGATTAAATAATTTTTAGTATCTATTCTAAGCAATCTTTGGTGCTGGTACATAGTTGGATGAGAAAACTGGGAACACAGTATTCGCTTAAATTATTTCAAAAGGTTGAAGTCATGCTGTGTTTAGACCAGTCAAGTTCTTTATGCCAGGTTTCCCATACATGCAGCTGGGGAAGTGATTTCTTTAACTTTCTTAGCATAAAATAAATATTTTGATTGAGATGACAAATCTCCTACCTTGTATGTCTAAGTATTAGATTAGATTATATTCAACTTTATTTTCATTAAACATGTACAGGTACAAGGCAACGAAATGCAGTTTAGGTCTAACCAGAAGTGCAATAGCAGCAAGTGCAGGATAAATAATGGTTCCATAAATACAAGACATGGGTTTTTCTACTGAATGAGTATAGAGATAAATACTATTTTAAATAATGAATATAATATATAGATCACTATTGTTATGAACTAAATTTACAGCTGGATATGTACCGAATATAATATACAGATGGATATTACTATGAAAAAAGGTTTTCACGGTTATGTACAATAGCATAATATACAGATGAATAAATAGAGTTTGGACAGAAGCTATCTAAATTAAAGTGCAGTGGAAGGTAATTGCATATTCCAGTTAAAGTACGTTATTGCAGATGTAAATGTAAACAATTGGTACTGTGAATAAACAGTCGGCAGTGCAAATATAAGCAGTCGGCAGTGCAAATCAATAATTAGTCAAAGTGAGTAGTGCAAGATGCATATAAAGAGTTGTTATAATAGTAACAGTCAGGAGTGCAGGTGAACTTTACAGTCTTGTAAAAAAAAACAGAATAGCAAAATGGTGGTAGGTGTGACAAAGGAGAGTAGAGTCCATCATTGAGGGTTAAAGTTCAGTAAACAGACAGCTCTGGGGAAAAAGCTGTTCTTTAGCCTGCTGGTTCTGGTCCAGAGGCACCTGAAACGCCTGCCGGAGGGTAGAAGAGAAAACAATCTGTGGGCTGGGTGGAATGAGTCCTCAATAATGCTGCAGGCTCGATGTAGGCAGTGTTTTCCCTCAATGTGCTCAGTGGTGGGTAGTGAAGTTCCAGTGATGTGCTGGGCGGCTTTCCCCACCCGCTGCAGTGCCTTGCGCTCTGCAACAGAACAGATTCCATACCACACTGTTACACAGTTGGTTAGGATGCTTTCTATTGCACAGTGATAGAAGTTCACCAGGATAGTTGATGGGAGCTGATTCCTCCTCAGTGTTGTCAGGAAGAATAGGCGCTGGTGAGCCTTCTTGACCAGGCAGGAGGTGTTGGTTGACCAGGACATGCCCATTGAGATGTGGGTCCCCAGAAACTTGAAACTGGAGACACGTTAAACAGCTATTCCATTGATGTGATTGGTGTTGTGGGTGCCTGTTGAATCTTTCCTGAAGTCTATGATGAGCTTCTTCGTATTGGTGGTGTTGGAGCTGGTTATTTTCGGTGCACCATGTGGCCAAGTGCTCTATCTCCTCCCTGTAAGCAGATTCATCATTGTTGCTGATGAGACCAATGACTGTGGTGTCATCCGCAAACTTAATGATGGAATTCAAATATATATATATATATATATAGAGCCTTGATACATTGAGTGTAGAGGCAAGGATGCATTTTTGTCATGTCTCTAAGTGCATGTGTTAAAGGTATGTATGGGCATGTGTGGGTTGAGCTATAAGTGGGTGTTGGCATGTGTCTGGAGCTGAATGATTGTCTAATGAATATCACCTGGATCTGCTCTGGGGCTGTTTGTTTGATTCAGAGAGAGGCTGAGGCAGGGTGCCAATATTTCTGTTGACCGCAAGT